CGCCATGGTGTCGGATGTGTGGAAGTTCTGTACCAAGCTATCAGAGACGCACGTAAGATGCAACCAGTGTGGACGCGTCATGTCCTACCACGGAACGACAAATTTACGAGTGCATATCGGCCGCCATTTTGGGTTGAAACCGCAACGAAATCGATTTGGGAGAATCTTCAAAGGCTACATCAAACGTAAAATTTGCTGTTGTTATATTGCATGATGTTTATTATATTATTCGTTTCTATTGTTTGAGATTTTTGATATGGTCTTTGTTCTTTAGGCTCGATGCTATTTTAGAGTACCCGTCAACGGAATCGATTTGTGACGTCATACATACCCCGCCCCGATGGGAGGGAGGTGTCGGTGTTGCCAGACCTCTGTATAGTATCCACGCGCTCTTTCTGTCAAATGCTATCCCTCAAGGAGCTGAATTATTTTTAATGCAATATCATAGTGTACCGCCTTCGAGGTGGCTTTTGTTAGTGATGCTGTGCTGTGGTAGCTTAGTTGGTTCGGGCGATAGTTTAGTCCTGTCTTATATTGTCACAGCGTGTTTCTGCTGAGGTAGTTACCGTCATTATGACGCATGGTCGCCGTGCCGATATTGTGCAGTGCTCAGTTGCAGAATCTGTTATTGTTACTGGAGCGAAGCGCACACGTGCATGATCATAACAACAATCATGATGGTTCGGCTACAACGAAAATGCCGTGGACAGTAAATTGGAATCCCCCAACCAAGTGACCCTTCGACGACAAAGCTCTTTGTTCCAGGGATGAAAACAAAAACAGACGCTTGACAACTGATCACTTTTCTCTGGCTAATGTCGAAGTCTGGAATACGTGGAGCCTTACTGCAGTGTCCCGTGTATGCCACGTTGTCACATGAACTTTTTCCCTCCTGTGTTTTAATTCTGAAGTAGAAATCAGACGAGTAGCGTCATGAAAGTTAGCTGATGTCGGGTCCATTGGTGTTAGTTCACATATTCCTGCATGAAATACCTTAGCAGCTGGTTTTATGAGCCGGGAGAAAAGCGCTGAACTTGGCAGTGAGGACGAACACACGGACCTTTCAGAGGATTTCACTCTCCATAATGCAACGTTTTAAGATGTTTCTTATCGAAGATTTACAGCCGTGGCCTTCGTCCTATGTCCGCACTTTCAGGGTCAAAGTTTTTATTCTCCATTACAGTACCCTGGCGTGTCAAATTCGGTATGATGGAAATATGGTCGATGCTTAAAGTGTTCCTCGAAACGTGGACACTTGTTTATCTGTGAATTACGTTTGCCAAAGAGATGGCAGACAGCCTTTTATTATCTTATTCAGAATGAATTCTGATGGTTAGTTAAATTAGTTGACTACCATGTAGGTGAACAGGTGTGCAATGGAAGAACTTTCAAATTGCGGTAAGTGTAAGTGAACCCAAGACTTTGTACTTGGTGATACGATTTTTTGTGTCAGTGTTAGGGATTACATCCAAGTTGCCAGTCCATAACCACTTTGATAAACTTAAAATATCCAGGAAGTTTTTATTTGAATCTGTCCTCTGAAAGTAACTATCACGACCTATAAATTTGTGGTTTCCTCGAATTTGTACCTCATTTTGACTGGGCATACCTCCAACCCCATCATACTGAACTCGCGCTGTATAATTTACCTTGCATCATGAAGTGTTAGTTACCAGTGTAATGGAACAGAGTCCTTCTAGAGAAGATGACGTTACATTCATCTAACTGAGAAACCCCACGCATTTTATGGAACCAGGAGGTTTTATCCACTGACCCACATGGATCCAGTCCACACCTCCCCTTCTGTACTTGATTTGTAAAGTCCAATCCGATATGATCTGAACAAGATTAATGTATTTTTGTTATTTAAAATGTTATTTTTGATCCTTTGGCTTTGGATGGGTGAATTTTACTCTTGATACAAAGAGGTTGCAAGTCTTATTTCATAATTCTGTTTGATGTAGACATCTTTGAAGACAGTAGTTCACAAATATTGATTATATTTTTCTGTTCTTTTTTTGTTGGTAGTATTGTACCTGGCATGAAGGCTTCATGGCACTGGCGTTTGTGATAGACATGTTTTGTCTGCTTCATACTGAGGCACATGAATTTAACCAATAAGGCTCGTCGTGGTCAGTTGTTGAATGTTGACGTGACATTATTTAAACGTTGAAATTAATTTTAATTGATTTCCATTTTACATGTACTGTCCTTAATATTGTAACAGCTGCATGTAGTAAATCTAGCAGCTTGTCGCTTGCCAAAGTTAAGCAAATGTGTGTGTATGGAAAGGTGAAAAGGAAACAAATAGTTGACGAGGAATAAATTATATATTCTGAACTAAACATGAGAGGTGATGAGATGCACTGTATAAATTTCTTTTATTGCGTGACTGAGTATGGGTGATGATGGGAAATGTGGATGCTTTTAACAAGTCCTGCTATATTTGCACCAGGAATTCTGAGATTTGCTCTGGGGTGAATTCTGGGGCAAGGAGGAGAACATATTTAATGTTAGTTGTGTAAAAGTTAGACATAGTTTTCAGTTTAAATTATGTGTGTACTTCTAGAATTGTATGAAGTTTAGAACTGAAGTGACATTGGTACTCCTATTTCGCATGTGCATGAAATTTTGATTGTTGTGTTGCAGTCCCGCAGCAAGCCCCACCTGGAACAAAACAAGTGGTGGCCCCACCAGCACCGCCGCCTCCACCACCCGTCAAGAAGAGTCTACCTCTAATTTCTCAGTCTACACCTAAGCCAGCCATGTCAAAGCCAGCTCCTCAGCCCGTGTCTCCACCGCAGCCTCCTCCGCCTCCGCCCGAAGTTTGTCTCCGATGGAACAGTTACCACTCGAACATGCAGGCTACATTTCCGAGCCTGCTGAGCAACGAGCAGTTCGTGGACGTCACATTGGCCTGTGAGGGACGCAGTATTAAGTGTCATAAAGTACGTACTCAAATAATTGGCCGCAGAGGGGCGTGAACGGACTAATCTGGATTATCTAAGAGCTTGCATATTAATTATATTTTCTTAACGAAGGAACGAGCAATTCTGCATCAGGCTTTGGTGATGTCATCACACAAGACAGATTGGGACTCATTTCTAAATGTTTATGAACGGAGTATCGACAGGTAGTACAAGTAAGAGCAAGCAACGACTTGTTTCACCTTCTTGAACCTGCATTTAACACTGCCAGCATCATTTCTAGCACTGAACATCGTAACACAAGTAGCTGTCTGGCATGAATTTGGATCTTAAAATATAATTTATTACAATTTTGACATTTGGGAGAGCATTTTTTATATGGAATGCCTGGGCAGACTTTGAAACCAAAAAATTTTCATACATTGCCCATAACGTTTACATTTGCGTGAACATAGGAAATTAGGTCCTTCCCCCAAATTATGGAAATTAATCAAAAATTGCTTTCTAGTTAAAGGATGACTTTCAAGACTTATCTTCTCGTGGAAACACATTAGCAGCCAGTTTCCATTTTTAGAAGCTCCGGTCATTTTAAGTACGTGCATTTTGGGGATGTAAAGCCCCATTTTCAGAATATATAAATGGCTAAAATTCTCAGATATTGAGGGATCAGTTGTGAACTTTTCTTTTGTTCCGTGAGTGCTGTCCGTTACATGTGCAGCGACTCTAAAAATAAGAATAATACTCTAAATTACTTGTTAGTTGAAATAAAGTGGAATGAACTATACCCCTTTGGGGGGAAGTGATCCAGAACTATGTTTCATCCTATCACTGTTGTAACCTTCTTAAGTACAAAAGTGTTTCTTTCATCTCTGCAAAGTAGTCTGAAGAATACAACATAGAAACACGTATGTACAGAAGATTTTTATTGCATATTTTATTTGAAAAATGTTTTTGTAATTTCGTCTTCTGCTATCTTGGCATGATAAGTTTTCAAAGATTGTAAGGCTAATAAAAAAAATATTTCTATTTCAGACCAATAGTTAGAAAGTATTAGTTAATACATAATGTAACTTGTCGTTCGTATTAAAATTACGTAAATGTTAAACATATGCAGAACTGTTAAATAGGTCTTGAAAGTTTCATTAAGAAAGGATTCACATATTACATTTTACAAAATGTTGTGAAGTGAAACTTGGGTTTCAACTAAGAGAGGGCAAGATACAGGCTGCCGAGTTGGAATTTTCAAAAGGTGCTGTGTCCACGTGGTTTGCCCCTTCACTGCCTGCAATTTGCTTGTGGGTCGCCTCCCAGCCCAGTTACTACATTGGGGCTTTGATAAGAACATTGAATATAAAACAGTATACATGTCAAGTAACTCCAAGATGTAAGTGAACATGTAAAAAATGTGATCGGTGGCGGCTCGTATCATTAATCGATTAATATGCTCATCACAAGACCACCATTGTCTAAGACCTAAAAGAGTTTATTTATATTTACTATAAAAGTGACACAAATGGGCAGAACATACAATGCCAGAATAGAGACGACAGTCCATTTGTAATTATCATCTACGAGGAAGAAGATTGGTAGACCACATGAATAGAACAGGGAATGCATAGGTAGTTTGTGTTTCTGTCATCCCCTTCCTACATGTTGCAGGTTTCTTTTCTAATTTAGGCTTATCATTGGGCAGTTGATCCCACGCCGTAGCCACGCGGTCTGAGGCTCCATGCTTCGGACCGGCGATACGGAATACGCGCTGGTTCGTGTCTCGGGGGGAGAAGAAATTTTCTCATGAGCTTTCGACCGGTGTATGGAACCGGTGCCAACCCAGCATCGTGAGGAAATTGGAGAGCTACAATGAGTAGCGTAATCCGGTCAGGAAAACTAGCAATGGCTGGGGGTTCGTCGTGCTGACCACACGTCACTCTGTATCTGGTTGGATGATCGTTCACCTCTGCTTAGGCATGTGAACGTGAGGCCAGCAGTCAAGCTAGTCGGCTTTGGCTCTCTGGAGCTGTTACGCCACGGATTTAATTTTTAATTGAGCAGTTGATGCACTGGCACCTGATGAATTGGTCGTTCATCAGTAATGTATGAATTACTTACAGGTGATGCTATCAGCATGCAGCTCCTACTTCGAGGAGTTACTGAGTCAGAATCCCTGCCAGCATCCCATTGTTTTAATGAAGGACCTCAGGTTCTGGGAGGTGCAGGCGCTTGTGGACTTCATGTACCGTGGGGAGGTGAATGTGGGCCAAGATAATCTTCCCTCTCTGCTAGCAGCAGCTGAGGCACTGCAGATTAAAGGTCAGGGTAATTAATTGTTGAGTAGGCATTGGCATTTTGGAGGGTAGCACTGACTTAATGCTGGCTTTAGTGACATGTAACATTTCCTCTGTCAGAATAATACGTAAAATATCTTTTAGGTCTATCGGCAGCCACAATTCTGTTGGATTATTAAGAAAGGAACGATTTTGTTTGTAGTTTTATTTGATAGCGATCTATTGTCGTATGACAGTTGGTGTCAAGCATTGACTGCCAAATATGGTAGTTCAGTGATAATGCATCTGACCTTTATACAGAGTGAGTCAGAAGTATGTTTACAAACTTTGTGTGCTGTTCAAGGATAAAAAATGAGAAAACAATGTTCCTATGAACACGGGGTCGGAAATATTTCATTTTCGAAATATTAGACCTAAATAAGTTTCATTGAATTAACTTTATATCAAATTGAATCCAGCTTCCAGCAAAGATTTCCAATTAACGTTTGGGCAGGAATTGTTGGCAACATGCTTATTGGTCCACACATGCTTCTACCTCGTCTAAGAGGACTTTCATATCGGTGATTCTTAAGAAGACACTTGCCACGTTTCCTTGAAGATGTACCACTGAATACAAGAAGACATGTGGTTCATGCACGACAGAGCCCCAGAACACTTCTCCCATCGCGTCAGATATCATCTCAATGAACAGTACCCTCAGCGACGGATTGGGCATGGAGACCCAGTAGCATGGTCACCGAGGTCACAGGACCTAACTCCATTGGACTATTATCTATGGGGTCATTTGAAGTCCGTCGTTCATGCAACACTCATAAACAATGAAGACAACCTATGGGAACATGTACAGGCATGCCAGATGATTTGAGGAAACCCTGGTGTGTACGAAGGAATCCGTCAGTCTTGTGTACATCGTGCTCGGGCATGTGTGGAGAATGGAGGAACAACCTTAGAGCATCTGTTACAAAGAAACATCCCTGTCCTTATACTTGGCAATAAAGGCATACATTGAAAATTATTTTTGGCTATTATTTCGAAAATGAAACATTTGCGACTCCATGTTCGTAGGAACATTTTTTCTTATTTTTGATCCTGGAACATACACACGAAGTTTGTAAACATACTTCTGACTCACGCTGTATAGAAGTTGTCTGGATTGAATATTACCCCCTCCCAAGTCCATTGAGGAAAATGTGGAATACTACCTTCCATATTCTTTCCAACATACTTTTTCTTATTACCCTTATATCCTGTGGTTGTGGAGCTGATGCTGTAGTAGCCAGTTCCCTGTGTGTTTGATACAAGTATTAGTGAAGTCACCCGGGCTCACAATGTCTTGCAGGATTGGCTGGTCCAGCTTCCACGTCTTCATCACACGATGAAGACTCTCTACCGCCTTCTCTTGCACTTGCGACTGATGATTATTTGGATGAGTCCACATCCTCCCCTTCCAGTGCGAGAAGAGCCAGGAAGAGGAGAACTATAGCATCTATGCCAACTCTACGACAGGTACCAAGTGCAGCGATTCTAATTGTGTTTTATCAGAATCATCAACAAGGTTGGATTTTACGAAGTTGCCACATTTTATTTATATTGATGAGAATATGTTTGTTTTGAAGCCTGCAGTTACTGGCTATCCGAGACGCTTTGTGAGCGAATGGTTCCGAACGTCCAACACGACTCGGATCCTAACTGGACTGTGTAGTTTGCCTCTTGTATTTCCGCTAATTACTTTAGTTAGCTCTGATTCCAACAAGCTGTACAATTTTTCCACTTACTTTTATTTTGATAGTTTGATCCCAGCCAGTGATAGAACCTGTAAGTCTTGACCTTCATTTAAACATGGGAACTATAAATCACTTTTACGATCCATTGGATCAATTTAGACACTACATAATCCTGTGGTATGATGGAATGTTTGCATCTTGGAGAGTGTTTGTAAGTAAACTGAACCGATTTCCATACTCGTACCAGTCGGTCTACGTCCATTTCATTAAAATATGTACGATATCCAGCGCAGTGAAGTGGTAATTTTCTTGTTTGTGTTGGCTTATTCTGACATCCCTGGTTGTTTTGCAGAACACCATCTCACCGCACCGGAACCCTGTGGGTCGACCGCGTCTGACGAGGCCGTCGCCTCAGCCATCTACGTCAACTTACCACCTGGCATCCGTGGCTTCTGAGCCTCCACTTCGACGAGCCAGGAGATCTGAACCTGCCAGTCTTCCTGTTGGGGTTAGTATTTTATCACTGAAGTGCGTATCAGTATTGTCGCACACACTGCTAACCTTGCAAAAGTGCGACTTCGAGTTGAGTGGTCATGTGTATCTGCTTGCAAAGACCATTGAAATGAGAGACAGGATGTCCGCCAGATTCCTCTCAGAATAGCTTTTCTCATTTGCCAAAACATTGGACATTTGTTGGGCCAAATTGCAGTTTGATTGCCATTTCACGCCAACCACTTACGAGAAATGTGGCCAAGTTTGGTTTTTCTTTTGCAGGAGATCAAGATTGAGCCAGTGGATATTGAAATTAGCAATGATTCTATGGACCCCGTCGATGATGGATTCGACATGAACAAGGTTAGTTGTCGATATTTGGTCGAGACTACTTTGATGGTTTTAAACTTTCTTGTGTGAAATAGTTCCATCTAGCATGGCCTCCATTTTAATTTGCTTTGCTTTGTTTACCTTATTTTTATGTATGTGCGCACATAGTGATGACATACTCCGCTAGTAGGCCATTGTTTCACAACGGACGTGTTGTGACATTTTATGCGCGCACATAGTGATGACGTACTCCGCTAGTTGGCCGCTGTTTCACAACGGACGTGTTGTGACATTGATTTCATATGCATTTTAACGAAGTATGGCGATAGCAATGAGGTATTGTTCAGCCCTGTTATGTTTTATTGGCTTGTGCTGTTGTTTCTTTTTCTTTTTTATTTATTATATTTATCACTACTTTAAAAAGATTAGCCTCATTCAATCTTAATATCTTAAATCTTGCTTATTTACATGATGTGCAGGTAAAACAAACTCTGAAGAACGTAAAGTAGAAGTATGAACGTAGGCCATGAATGCACACACAAACATGGACTTTTGTATGGTTTTGTGTGCTGTCATAGATTGCCCATTGGTAAAAAAAATTCTTGCTGATGTTTTTATTTTCAAATATTTCATTATCTCATTGCGTTCTGTAGGGTTCTGACGACGATATGATATAGTTGGAATTACTGGGTTTTTGGACTTTGTCCATCGTCCAAGGTTAAAATGCGCGCGTTGTTTCCATCAGATCAGGTGCCCCTGCCCCATAAGATGAAATTGAAATGTGTGCATTTTGACCTTGGGTGATGGATAAAGTTTAAAAACCCAGTAACTTTGACTTCGTCTTATGTTTACAAATTTATAAAATGCACAAGCACATTTACATCCTCGCACAAAAAATTGATCTGCGACTGTGGCAGTTGACCTTAGCACTAGATGGGTGAGCAGTCAACATCATTCCCCTGCCATACTTTATCCACCCCTCCAAGAAAGGGCCTCTCTACCCATTGGATAGGAGGCTGTATAGGCTCCACAGCCAGTCTGGATGCTTAATGTAGAAAGTAGTTCTTTGCCCTTGCCAGGGATCAAACTCCATCTTCCTGATGGGTATTCACTAGCTGTACAGGCTGTTGACAACCTGCGTTAGTATCATATTTTATAGAGCTCTTTATAACAGGCTTTAGAGGTAGAATTTACGCTCTCGGCACCAAGTGAGGGACCAGTTCACAACTACTGGCAAAATTGTTTTGTTGTATTATCATGAACTGTGATCTAGAAAATGATGTGATGATAATTGTTTTGGAATGGATTGTAAAAGCATTCTTTTAAGTTGATCATGAACTACGTGCCATTTTATTGATTTTTAAACATTTTCAACATATAGTTCCATTTATCTCGAATTTGTTGATTTTCTTTGCTTATGCTCATATAGTTGCTTCAAGGCCAGTTTCTGTTCCGTTGCGCAGGAGAATTTCATTTAGACACATTCTCCCTGATAAATTATCATTATCATCATAAACAAATACCAGAGTAAGTGATTTAGTTGCATCTCTTCCTGACTCTCGTACTTCCCTGGGGCAAAATCAGAATGTGGTGGGATGGTTTCCAGTAAAGGTAGTTTTAATTAGACAGATAGATGACTGCGCTGTTGGGAGAGGGAGGTTGAGCATTTAATAACATCAAAATAGTTTCTTTGGTCTTTAGCACATACTGGTTTTCTGTTAAACTATTTCTTAAGCTGTACCTCTCGATTCGCGAGGCAGAAAAAATTATGTCATGTTCTTTCCAGACTTATGATGGCAGTGGCGGAGGTGACGTAAATGACTCCAGCAAGCAAGGTGATGAGGTGGGAGGCGACAGTAGAGGAACTGGTGGAGGGGGTATGCAAGAAAACAGTGGGGACCTCTCAGATGATAATATGGCAATTACAAGTGGACATGGTAGGTATTCAAACTTGTTGCTTCCAACGGATAGTGGGACACACATTTGTATTTTGCTTGAAGCTCTTTGTGTTTACTGAGAAATATTGCCTTCTGTGCCGTGGTCATAAGTGCGCAATAAACGTCCACCAAGACCTTCCCTGTTTCGTACAGAATGTATTATGATTTTGCTACTGGAGAAACCCTTTGTTTGCTCGTATCATAAGGTTAATGATTTCATACATTGTGTACACCCCTTAGTACTGTTTTCAGGGTATGAAGATGCAGAGGATACAGTGAAATCTGTCTGAAACAGCTTTTGGATTAACCTGTATCAGCTGTGTTTCACAACTGATGCTTGGTCCAGTTGGCCTTGCACATGGCTGTCGGCTCCCTATTACTGGCGTTCAAATCAACATTCCCGTCAATAAATGTGTAATTAAAACCTGTCTCATTGAAATGTCCCTCTGATCTCAAGAAGATGAGTGAAGAAACTAATGCAGAACTGCCTCTAATGTACTTAAAAGAGTCAGAAGCGAAGGGTAAAAGTAAGAACTTAATGGAAAGTAGTAATCTGCATAACTTTTGTGTGTGCAGTTTGCATCTCAATCATTCTTGGAGGAAAATGCGACTCGTCACATGCATTTCTGCTTTCCGCATTTTCACATATTCATGGTTTTATTTCGATATTGTGAGGAGCATCAGTATCGTTTCTGTGGCGATGATAGATGCTGGTGCACAGGCCCAGTGGCTTGTGCGTGCAGTTTCACTGGCTGGCCCCACTGTTTCAACTTGAAACTTCAGATTAAGGCTTCTCAAATCCAGTGCTTATTATGCATACATTGTCTATGTTTATTTCAGTATCTTCAGGGGCATGAATTTCCTGTCCATGGCCATGGAAGAAGCTCCCATGCATACCCAGTTTTACTGACTTGCCCCACTGTTCTGGGGACAACAAATTAAGGTCTCGAATGGTGTTTCACTCGGAACATCCATGAGCATGTTATATGTCTCCTGTATGTTTCAGTGTCCTTGATAACTGTTGCAGTTTGGAGGAATTCAACTGTGTATATTGAGTCAAGATGGCTGTGTTCTGGGTTGTTGGACTGTGTAGTCTGGTAGACGTTTACCATGGTGATGGAGGCAGCAAGGACCTCTGAAATGTCGGTAAACTTCTACCAGACTACACAGTGCAACAACCCAGAAGACAGCCATTGTCAGACTTGCCACTGTCAAAACCTCAAATCCTACAAAGTATATCGAGTCTTAGCACTAAGTATTCCAAATAGTTATGTATAAAACAAAGAATTTTATATTAACTCCCCAAAAGAGGGCAATTCTTTGCTTACACTCAAGTTTTTACTCGGGCTGTTTATAGCTAGTCCGGTGTCATGCTTCATAAACCTACGTGTTATTCAGCTGCATTTCCAAATGTAGTATGTGCCTTTTTGTGTTTGGTTTGCGCCATTAATTGATAATAGATGAGAAGTGTTGACTCTACACTTGACACTAATGTTCCACTGTTTGACCAGCCTTTCTTGTGTTGTTCCTTGGCTCTACAACCCAATTGTAGGTCTTCACTGCCTCATTTTTGGAAGTTTCCTGGTCTTTAAAGTGTGCACTCATGAGTAGTGAGTGACCAGCCCACTGACTGCACAATTTCTACTCAATCTCGATTTGACTGCCAGAGCCATCTAGCAATTAATCAGGAGAGATATGGGTGAGAAAAGGCTGCTAAATTTTACTTATGAAACATCTCATTCATGTTCGTAAGGTTCTTTTACATGCCGTAAATCCACGATATGGGACCGCCGGCTTTACTTCCCCTCCGAAGGAAGTTGTGCTACAGATTTCTATCGTCCTTAAAAATCCATCGACCTCGGCCAAGTTTGAACCCACGATCTTTGGGTCCAGTGGCGAACATAGTTAACCACTAGTCAACCGAGGGTGATAGCCTATCTTGTGATCAGCAGTTAAAAGTTTGTTTCCGTGTTGAGATGAGCCACATGTTGTTTAGTCATCGTTACTTGAAGATCATCATTTTTTTATTACTTCGTATGTGATTCAAGTTTTTCATTACTCTCTACCCTGTAAACCTGACCATATCCAGTAACTGCAGTAAGTCGCTCATAATTCGTTTTGTGCCAGAGTAATTTGAATTTATTTCTGGTGAGGAAACTGCTGATTGAATTCATTGTTTACATTTCACTGCGTAGACCTGGCAGCTAATTAGTTGCTGGAGTGGCTTAATCTTTCTATGGTGTGGGAACTGATATACTGGTGAATTGACAAACTGTGAAATAGAAAGCTTTTAGTCTGC